GTAGCCATATTGGTCTGAAGCAGTAGAACAAAGTTCGAGTCCAGTGGCACCTTTAAGACCAACACATTTTATTCAAGGTATAAGCTTTTGTGTTCATGCACACTTCTTCAGATACATTTAAATGGTAACTTCCATTTCAGTGCATCTGAAGGAGCATGCATGCACACGAAAGCTTATGCCCAGAATAAAACAGTGTTCATCCTAATCCATTTTAGGTCTTTCCACAACGGCTGCACTGTGAAGTCTGAATACCTGTGTTTTAAATTGTGAAAAATGCCATTGCCTGAATCAAGGGCTACTTAGATCAACACTGAAAACACCTTTATGGCGGGACTGCTCTTGATAAACACTGATTTTTCAGCGCATCAAAGGGCCAGTTCATATTGTCTAATATATTCAGGATTTTGGAAAGAAATCAAAACTTTCACACATTGGTCAGTCACTCGAGCAAAAAGGTTCAGGGTGGGAATTTATTTATTTATTTATTGTTTTGATTTATAGCCCGCCCTCCCCGCAAGCGGGCTCAGGGCGGCTCACAAATAGGGCACATGCCAATATATAAAACAGGTTAAAAGCAACATAAAAACAGTCATTTGCAATATTACACAGTGCTCCAGATGTTTCAAATCAGTCTTCAATAAAATGACGGCATCTTGAAGATGGTACTCCCAGTTCAGTTCCCAGTTCAGTGTCAACAGACGGCACGGAGCTTGCGAAAGCGTTTGAGGCCCTTGCTTAGCGTGGCGACAAGCGTGTTTGATCTCACCTGTGATTTGCAGCGCCATGGCGTCTTAAACTTTTTTTAGTTTAGTTTAGAGAGCCAGTTTGGTGCAGTGGACTCTAATCTGGGAGAACCGGGTTTGAGTCCCCCCTCCTCCACATGCAGCTGCTGGATGACCTTGGGCAAGCCATAGTTCTGTCAGAGCTGTTCTTGAAAAAGAGCAGTTTCTGTCAGAGCTCTCTCAGCCCCACCTACCTCACAGGGTGTCTGTTGTGGGGAGGGGGAGGGAAAGGAGATTGTGAGCCGCTCTGAGACACCTTTGGGTAGTGGGCGGGGTATAAATCCAATCTCCTCTTCTTTTTTCAACCCTCGGACAGACGATCTTCCGAAACCCAAATCGACCGAAGTCATTAGGGAAGGAGAGCTTCCGGAATACTCAGCATCCGAGGAGAAAGAGGAGGAGCGGCGCTGGCGTTTGTTCCGGATCGGAGAGCAGTCTCACCGGGTGGACATGAAGGCCATCGAGCCCTATAAGAAAGTGATCCGGCACGGAGGTGAGGTGGGATGGGGCGGCCGTCTGTGTCTGCCCCTGGGAAGCGCGGGAAGAAGCACCCCCAAGTTGACCCCTGGTTTGTTTCCCCCCCTCCTTTCTAGGATATTACGGCGATGGATTAAACGCGATAGTCGTGTTCGCCGTTTGCTTCATGCCGGAAAGCAGTCAGCCAAACTACAAATACTTAATGGATAACCTATTTAAGTAAGTTGTACCCGGCGAACCTGCCTCTTACGGCGTTAAAATCGGCTCCCGTAAGCACACAGTTGCCCTGCCCCGGAGGGCCCAGGCGAGCCTGATTTTATCAGATCTCAGAAGCAATGCAGGGTCAGCCAAGGAAGTCCAGGGTTGCTATGTCTCTTGCCCGGAAAAACCCTACAGCAGTGGTGGCGAACCTATGGCAGGGGTGCCAGAGGTGGCACTCAGAGCCCTCTCTGTGGGCACGCGTGCCATCGCCCCAACCAGGCCCAGACCATCATTAAAGTGTCGAAGTCTCTGCCAAATAATTTTAAGTAAATGAAAGCCTTTGGGATTGCTTCCCGTACTTTTTTTGGATCATCTTAAGTTAATGTATGAGTTGTTTTTTTCTAAAGTAAGAACCTCAGTATTCAGGTGAAATTGCCGTGTTGGCACTTTGCAATAAATAAGTGGGTTTTGGGTCGCACTTTGGGCACTCGGTCTCTAAAAGGTTCGCCATCACTGCCCTACAGGGTCAGGTGTCGCGGTGAAGTGCGCAGACTCTAATCTGGGAGAACCGGGTCTGCTGGATGACCTTGGGCAAGCCGTAGTTCTGTCAGAGCTGTCCTTGAAAGGGCAGTTCTGGAAAGAGCTCTCTCAGCCCCACCCACCTCCCAGGGTGTCTGTTGTGGGGAGGGGGAGGGAAAGGAGTTTGGAAGCCGCTCTGAGACTCAGAGTTGAAGGGCAGGGTATAAATCCAATATTCTCTTCCTCCCCCTCCTCCTCTTCTTCATCTTCTCCATCTTCTTCTTCATCAGCTGCAACTTTATAGCACTTAATTAATGCCCTGACTGGAACAGCCCAGGCTAGGCCAAGCACATCAGATCTCAGAAGCTTAAGCAGGGTCAGCCCCGGTTAGTCCTTGGATGGGAGACCACCCCGGAAGGCCAGGGGCGCTGTGCAGAGGCAGGCAGCGGCAGACCATCTTTGAATGTTTCTTGCCATAGGAGTCACCACAAGTTGGCAGCCACATGAGGACACTTTTTCCACCACCGACGACTCTTTATTGCTCAAGACCTCAGAGAGTTCCTGCCAGAGATCTTCCCGGTGCTTCGATCAAAGAGTTTTTTTTTCCTGCCGAGCATAATAAGGACTGAACTGGGCACTTTCAGCAACAGAGCTTGTGCTGTTGCACTGAGCTAGGCCCCCACCCACCTGCTTTCTGCTGCGTCTTACCTTCAGTCATGCGGCGAAAATCCTGGTGCCGCCATGGCGGCGGCATTGTTAAAAAATTTGCACAGCCGATCCAGTTTCCAGAGGCCAATTATAGGTCTTTCTGGGCAGAAGCTTCAGCTGCCCTGCCCACTTTCTGAGAACACTTGGCAGGTGCCCGTGGGCGCCACGTTGGGGACCCCGGTATAGGGTATGGGTGTCCAGAGTTATCAGCCTTTCCTGCTCCATCCACTTCTCCCCCACCAGCCCAGCGAATACTAGGCAGATAATGAACTTTTCCTTGTGGTGCAGTGAAATGGTGTCTGTCTAAATCAGGGGTGTCAAACATGCGGCCCGGGGGCCAGATCAGGCCCCCGGAGGGCTTCCATCAGGCCCACAGTGGAACTGGCCATCTCCTGCTTCCAGTTCTGCTGCTGCTGCATCATCACGTGCTTCGCCAGACTCTCTTAATCACTCAGCCATTTCATGTTTTAACCTGGGTCCTAGGCTCAGAACTCTTGAGCATGAGATTTCTCTGGTGAATATTGATTAATCAAAAGTAGGTGTGCCGCTTGCAGATACACACTTGAACAGCATACCCTAGATTTCAACAGCACAGACAGTAATTCAGAGCAAGAGGTGTCAGTTATCAGATACTGTTAAATAAACAAAATATCGCAAGAGCGCTAATGTTTTAAGCAGGTTTTTATTTTAGGGTGGGAAAAAATATCTTTGTGTCCTGTATAAAGCTTCTGTCTCCGCTACTTGGCGTTACAACACACTTGAACAGCATGCCCTAGATTTCAACAGCACAGACAGTAATTCAGAGCAAGAGGTGTCAGTTATCAGATAACTGTTAAATATCGCAAGAGCGCTAATGTTTTAAGCAGGTTTTTATTTTAGGGTGGAAAAGAATATCTTTGTGTCCTGTATAAAGTTTCTGTCTCTGCTACCTGGCGTTACATTTTCATGACACGCATGGCCCGGCCCAACAAGGTCTCACTTATGTCAGATCCGGCCTTCATAACAAATGAGTTCGACACCCCTGGTCTGAGTGTTGTGTGCTCCCTTCCCTTCACTGACTGCTCCAGATTTGCAGGTAGCCTGGCCCAAACTAACACACACACACCCGCCCTGGAGGGTCTGATATGCCTGCAGTGCAAACTGCTTAGCGAATGGGGAGATGGACCTTTGGAGGCGACCTGGACCTTGCTTCTCTCCTGGTAGGTTCGTGATCGGAACACTGGAGTTGCTGGTTGCCGAGAACTACATGATCGTTTACCTCAATGGCGCCACGACGCGGAGGAGGATGCCCAGCCTGGGCTGGCTCAGGAAATGCTACCAACAGATCGACAGGAGGTGAGGAGGAAGGGAGGTGCTCGTAGACCCCCTGACTGCAGAAGGCACCGCGTAAGACACCTCTCCGCCTGCCGTTGCTGCCGTTGCCGAGTAGCGGAAAGCAAGTTTTAATTGTCCCGCCTGTGTCACTTGGGTTTCCGAAGTTCCGGGGGAGAGACGGCACCTAGCAAAGCGCAAGGGCAGGAGCGCTGTGTCGGAACCTTGGAAGGATCAGTTCCCAGGAGCAGTCACTCAGAAGAATGAAAGTTTATCGAGACAGTGATCAGATCCAGACTCTTAACGGTCTGTGTTAGAACTAAGGAAAAGCGCGCGAAGCCAGCAAATTACACTCAAATCAGTCAGAGCCCTGATGGCCCAGGGCCAGTCATACCTAAAACCAAAGGCCCGTCGGAATAACGGTTCGTGATTTCCAAGAGAAAGACGACGCCAGTACAGACTGGGGCACAAGGTTACATGTCTCAGCTAAAAGAGATAAGAGTCAATCAAAACAACAAAGGGAAAAGACTAGAGACAGTGATCAGATCCAGACTCTTAACGATCTGTGTTAGAACTAAGGAAAAGCGTGCGAAGCCAGCAAATTATACTCAAATCAGTCAGAGCCCTGATGGGCCAGGGCCAGTCATACCTAAAACCAAAGGCCCGCCGGAATAACGGTTCGTGATTTCCAAGAGAAAGACGACGCCAGTACAGACTGGGGCACAAGGTTACATGTCTCAGCTAAAAGAGATAAGAGTCAATCAAAACAACAAAGGGAAAAGACTAGTGTCGCAGGAGTTCCCAAATATACAAATCCCACTAGTAGAAAACACCATCAAAGTTTGCCAAAACAATATATTAAACAATTACAAAGTTGGTGGTGTCACAACAACAACATCATTGATGCATACTGTAACAATAATAAGGCGTAAGATACAATATTTCCTCCTTTGAAGATAAGACATAAAGTCCATGTAGTCAGTGTAACTTGGTAGGAGGAGTCGCTTCTTACGCTGTGAACCTTGTGGTCTGTTGAAATTGCTGAAATCAGGTTCCCACTCACACAGCCGGCAAGCTGAAGAAGTCGAAGGAAATGCATCTTCCAAGTATCTAGAACGGGCGTCTTTGCAAAAGTTGTTTGGACAATATTATGACTACGTGGACTCCTCCTTTCACTGGTTACGTGGACTTTATGTCTTCAAAGGAGGAAATATTGTACCTTATGCCTTATTAGAGTTACAGTATACATTAATGTTGTCGTTGTGACACCACCAACTTTATAATGGTTCAATATATTGTTTTGGCAGTCTTTGATGGTGTTTTCTACTAGTGGAATTCGTATATTTGAAAAAGAGATAACAGAGCAGGCAAAGCAGGCAGAAACGAAAGTATACTTTCCAGTCACCCCCTTACATCCCATGACAACTAAGCCCGTTGATACGGGTGGGGTTGACACACAGAAGGAGAAGCAAACTAGGCAGCTGGCGCGCAGTCCCACAACAGTGCGGCGAAATTATTTTGTATAAAGCAAACTTCCTAAAAAAACCCCGCCACCCTTCCAAAAGGTGGGCGGCGTCGGCTGACAAGAAAAGGGCACGTATTTAACACTGCCGTGTCAACATCCCGCTGTGTCCCCGTCTGGGTTCGCGAACGCCTTCCAAACAGCCCAGCCACCCACCCCACCCCCGTTTCCGGTTTTGCCGACTTTCTTCTCTGCGAGCCGCTGAGCGGGGATCATCTGCTTTGTCCCGGCAAATAGGTGGAGGATGCAGATACGCAGTCCCGTCTCTGCCCTTCTCCCCGGCTGGCGTCCCCTTCCGGTTCTTCTTCCTGCCCCAGAAAACCTGGCCGGAACCCGACCCTCTGCAGGTAGGGGGACGCACCTCCCCTCCGTTGTCTCTTCCAATCACCCCGGCACGACGATGTGTGATCTCGCTGTTGTTCGTCCAGTTCTAGTGAGAGTCGCCGATCCCGTAGCTCCTTAGGAGTTCATTCTAGCAACGAGTTTAGAGCGCTAGCCAGCAGCTGCCGAGCTTTTAGCGTATGCTTGTGTTTGTTTCTGTGGCTGACTCTCCTCCTGCTTAACTTTAGGTTGAAGAAAAATCTGAAATCCTTAATCATAGTTCATCCCTCCTGGTTTATCAGGACGCTTCTGGCAATCACGAAACCTTTTATTAGGTAACACTAAAATATATATATGTATGTCTGTATTTAAAAATACGTAGGTATGTTTGCTTTTGAGAGCCAGTTTGGTGTAGTGGTTAAGTGCGCGGACTCTAATCTGGGAGAACTGGGTTTGATTCCTCACTCCTCCACTTGCACCTGCTGGATGACCTTGGGCAAGCCATAGTTCTGACAAGAGCTATCCTTGAAAGGGCAGTTCTGGAAAGAGCTCTCTCAGCCCCACCTTCCTCCCAGGGTGTCTGTTGTGGGGAGAGGAAGGGAAAGGAGTTTGTAAGCCGCACTGAAACTCCGAGGGAAGGGCGGGGGTACAAATCCAATCTCTTCTTCTCCTTTAGTGATAACCATGTTTTCCGATCTCTTCCTTTAGCTCGAAATTCAGCCAAAAAATCAGATACGTCTTCACTCTGGCAGAGCTGGCGGAACTGGTCCCCATAGAATCCGTGGGCATACCAGAATGCATAAAGCAGTAGGTCTCGAGTCTATATCTTTTGCGTTTGTTTCTCAGCCACGTACCTCTTTGGTGGTGAAGTTTAGCTCCTGGAAACCCTGGCTTGTTTTTGCGTCTGCAAAGTCGTGGCCTCTCCCTCGGGAAGAGAGTCTCTCTCAGCTTACCAATAAAATGAAGGGCAGTGGAGACGGCAGGCCGGATCCTGCCGACCTGTGCCACTTTCCTCCAGTGCAGAGAGACGCTTCTGCTGACATAACAGTTGCCAGCTTCCAGGTGGTTAAAAGTAAGAGCGATCACGGGTTGGAGTGGTAAACAGCAAAATACAACTGTGATATAATAACAGTATCTTTGTATGATCAAAGGTTAGTGCAACACCGTCACCTTTTCACAATCAACAAACGTTTCTATGTATAAACGTCCCACCAAACTTCTAAGGATGAATACACGCCAATGGATACATTAACGTAAACAGTCCTATTTTGTGATCCGTTCCTCTTTTCTTTTTCTCTTCCATGTTTTAGTTTTACATGTGGCAGTTTTTCCTTTTTCTCTTCTGTCCTTCCGGAAGAATAGATAGATAGATAGATAGATAGATAGATAGATAGATAGATAGATAGATAGATAGATAGATAGATAGAGAGATAGATAGAGAGATAGATAGAGAGAGAGATAGAGAGAGAGATAGAGAGAGAGAGAGAGAGAGCTAGTTAGAGAGATAGAGAGAGATAGATAGAGAGAGAGAGAGAGATAGATAGAGAGATAGATATCCTCACTCCTACACATTTTTGGTTGGCTCCGCCTCCTGCGGCGGCCGTTTTGCGGCCTCTGCACCCACCGCACTGTGACAGAATTCCAGAGCCACCCGTGGACTCAAAAAGATTGGGGACTCCGTGGACCAGAGGAAAGTTCCTCAGCAGAAGGTGTCCGTGGGAGGCAGTGCCTCACGCCCAACCACTTCTTCAGGGTTGCTCTCTTCCCAGCGTTCTGCGTTCCAGTCCGCACCCCGAATCAAAGCTCGTAGACTGACGCAGACCAGTTGCTTTCCTGATCTACCTTTCTGAGGGATTGTGATGCTTGGGGGGAGGTTGGGGGGAGGACGACAAAATGCACTGGAAAATTGGGCACGTTTTGCAACAATTGAAATCCTGTTTCTTCTGCAATGACGTTTAAAAGCAAGCCAAGGAAAGCGTCTCTGCTAGATTTGCCGTCGCCTTCAAGACTGGGGGGTGGTTGGGTGGTGTACAGCATTGCGCTTTTCGAAACTAAAAATCAAATTTTCCCCCACCAAGGTACGACGAAGAAAAACTTAGAAAGAAAGCCAAAAGGTACACGCGCCTCTCGATCAGGGCCCCACATCTAATCTTCGCCAGCTTTGCACGGGGGCTGAGGCTGACTTCAGCGGGCTGGAATGCCCACGGCACGTGCAAATGGACACACACCCCTGCCGGCAGAGCTCGCCCCCGTCTCTGGCTTAGCTTGTGCCATCGCTGTGTGTCAGTTGCGTTGAGTGAAAAACCTGCCTGCTGCTACAGAAGGGAGCTGCGTAGCCCCGAAAGCTCACATCTTCTGTCTGCTCGTAGCACTAAACTTTGGGCTCATAGAACCGCTGATACTTCCCCCCTTGAAGTATTAGCAGCAATTCCCACCAAATATTTCCTGAATGCTAAATTCCTAGCAGTCGCTGAAGTTTCAGAATTGCCTGACTCCCACCCCCGGTTGACACTGGCTTTCTAGCTTCCTGTGCTGTCTGCATGCACGGCGCTTTCTCTCTCTCTCTCTCTCACCAGTTGTATGCTTGGGTTCTCTCTGGTGCTCGGAAGCTCATGGCCTGCTCACATGCTTCTCGTGGCTTTGTGAGTTCATGGGATGCTGTCCGGTCGGCTGCTTGACCATCACTGTTGCTACTAACTACTTAACTTGATCCAGAGGGCGCCCTGAGGTGCGAGAATGCTTCACGATGCCTCATTCTAAAATTCTCCGCCTTAGGTCAAAGGGCAGGCCGCTACCTAGTGAGGCGAAACCAGCCTGTTTCTAACACAAGGAAACTTAGAACAGTAGACGCGTTTAGCTTTTTCACCGAAAGGGGAAACTGCCATATTTAATACTGTTCCCTCCCCCTTGACAATTGCAAAAAGAAGCAGAGAGGTAATATTTAGAATGCTTTTCAAGGCTGGCTGGCACCTGAGAGAAAAGTGAGTTTTCTGTTTTTCTTCAGGGAGGGACCGTGGCTCAGTGGCAGAGCCTGTGCTTGGCATGCAGAAGGTCCCAGGTTCAGTCCGCAGCATCTCCAGTTAAAAGGACCAGGGGATGTGAAAGACCTTGATCTTGGACCCTGGCTCAGTGGCAGAGCCTCTGCTTGGCATGCAGAAGGTTCAATCCCCGGCATTTCCAGTTAAAAGGACCAGGCAGGAGGTGATGTGAAAGATCTCTGTGCCTGAGACCTTGGAGAGCTGCTGCCAGTCTGAGTAGACAACCCTGACTTTGATGGATTCAGTCTAAAGCAGCTTTTATGTGTGATCGTGTGTTTAGGGAAGGGGCCGTGGCTCAGTGGCAGAGCATCTGCCTGGCATGCAGAAGGTCCCGGGTTCAGACTCCGGCATCTCCAGTTTAAAAAAAGAATCTGGGAGTAGGTGATGTGAAAGACTCTGGAGAGCTGCTGCCAGTCTGAGTAGACAATTCTGAATCTGAGAGGCCAGATTTTATTATAGGGTTAAAGTCCGTGGCTCAGTGGAAGAGCCTTTGCTTGGCACGCAGAAGGTCCCAGGTTCAATTCCCAGCATCTCCAGTTAAAAAGGACCAAGCAGGAGGTGATGGGAAAGACCTCTGCCTGAGACCCTGGAGAGCTGTCAAGAGGGGCCGTGGCTCAGTGGAAGAGCCTCTGCTTGGCATGCAGAAGGCCCCAGGTTCAATCCCCGGCATCTCCAGTTAAAAGGACCAGGCATTAGGTGATTTGAAGGACTTCTCCTGAAGGAGAGCCAGTTTGGTGTAGTGGTTAAGTGCACGGACTCTAATCTGGGAGAACCGGGTTTGATTCCCCACTCCTCCACTTGCACCTGCTGATGTGACCTTGGGTCAGTCACAAGCTCTGGCACAGCTGTCCTTGAAAAAGAGCAGTTTCCGGCAGAGCTCTCTCAGCCCCGCCCACCTCACAGGGTGTCCGCCCACCTCACAGGAGTTTGTGAGCCGCTCTGAGACACCTTTGGGTAGTGAAGGGCGGGGTATAAATCCAATCTCTTCTTTTCTTCTTCTTCTACCCCCGGAGACCCTGGAGAGCTGCTGCCAGTCTGAGTAGACAAGACTGTATTTGATGGACCAAGGCTCTGATCCAGTACAAGGCAGCTTCATGCGTTTATGCATTATAGGGGAGGGGCCAGTGGCTCAGAGCCTCTCCTTGGCATGCAGAAGGTCCCAGGTTCAATCCCCGGCATCTCCAGTTCAGAGGACCAGGTAGTAGGAGATTGGAAAGATGTTTGCCTGAGACTCCGGCTCAGTGGCAAAACTTCTGTGTAGCATGCCGAAGGTCCCAAGTTCCGTTCCCAGCATCTCCAGTTAAAAGGACCAGGCAGCGGGTGATGGGAAAGACCTCTGCCTGAGACCCTGGAGAGCGGCTGCCAGCCTGAGTAGGCGACACTGACTTGTATGGGCCGAGGGTCTGATTCAGTATAAAGCAGCTTCATGTGAGAAAAGGGTCTGGATTCAAAACCTGTCGTCTCAGCTGTGTTGGTCTTGGCCTCCACGGGTGTCCATCCCGTCACCCAAACAGACGGTGGAGGAAGGGGTTACCGGTGTGTGCAGTAGTCAAAAAACCAGCAGACCCAGAGGCGGGACTGCCTTCTCTTTTGGAGCCCTCGAGGGTATCAGGCCGAGATGCTTAGGAAGGTCTGTTTTTCCGGCTTGATTCTGAATGTCTTGATGTGGCCAGACAAACGAGGAATCCCGCTTAACCCGGACTTGCTGTTAGCCGGAACGGTTCCGCTCCCTTGCAGTTCGGTCGTGAATTTTCAGGAAGAAGGCTGCCAGAGGATGTAGTGATGGCCACGGGAATAAACCACTTGAAAAGGGGGTTGGATAGAGTCATGAAAGATAAGTCTATCAGTGGAGACTAGCTATGGTGACGGAGGGGAACCTTCACATTTAGAGGCACTAAGCCTCTGTATCCTAGAGCCAGGAGGCAACATCAGGGGAAGGCCTCGGCCTCTGTGCCCTGTTGTTGGCCCTTTGGAGGAACTGGTTGGCTGCTGTGTGAGACAGGAGGATGCTGGACTAGAGGGACCCTCACTGGTCTGATCCAGCAGGGCTCTTCTGAGGTTCTTATCAGGGGAAGGCCTCAGCTTCTATGCCCTGTTCTTGGCCCTCCAGAGGAACTGGCTGGCCCCTGTGTGAGACGGGATGCTGGACTAGATGGACCCTCACTGGTCTGATCCAGCAGGGCTCTTCTTAGGTTCTTCTCAGGTGAAGGCCTCGGCCTCTGTGCCCTGTTGTTGGCCCTCCAGAGGAATTGGTTGGCCAGTGTGTGAGACAGGATGCTAGAATGGATGGACCCTCACAGGTCTGATCCAGCAGGGCTCTTCTGAGGTTGTCCACAGGGGAAGGCCTCGGACTCTGTGCCCTGTTGTTGGCCCTCCAGAGGAGCTGGTTGGCCACCGTGTGAGACAGGATGCTGGACTAGATGGACCTTCTGATCCAGCAGAGCTCTTGTGATGTTCTTAAGGCTGACAAGTTTTGAAAGTAGAAAAAGAGTTCAGTAGCTGAAGAAGGAAAGAAAGAAGGAAAGAGTCTGGTAGGACTTTAAAGACTGATGAAATTTGTTGTAGGGTACGAAGAAGTGAGCAGTGACTCACGAAAGCCCATACCCTACAACAAATGGTGTTAGTCTTCGAGGTGCTATTGGACTCTTTTCTGCTGCTACAGACAGACTGACATGAGCTACCCATCTTCATCCATCTCTATGGAACGTTTTGAAAGATTTGTATCCACCGTTTCAGTTTTCCCAGGCACTTGACAAGCAATTTTAAAAAGGCATAAGCTATCATCAATAGAGCCATGTCTCAACTCCCTAGCTAAGTGTGTTAGGTGTACATCAGAAGTAAAATTAGAAATTGGGGGTGGGGGAGAGAGGCAAAGTAAGACCTGAAGATGCCACGTCCCACCAAGGGTTAGGGGATTCTGTGATGTCCTTCAGTCCTGCTAATCAGCCATCCGGGGGGGCTCACTCTGTGTTACTTGTGCTTAAAAGGGGGGGGGACTGTACCATGTAGTGCCGATGGGGTCCTTCATTCATTTCTTTGTAGCTGCCCCTCTGGAAAGGTCACTTTTGCTAACCTTCCCCGGTTGACACTGGCTTTCTAGCTTCCTGTGCTGTCTGCATGCACGGCGCTTTCTCTCTCTCTCTCTCTCACCAGTTGTATGCTTGGGTTCTCTCTGGTGCTCGGAAGCTCATGGCCTGCTCACATGCTTCTCGTGGCTTTGTGAGTTCATGGGATGCTGTCCGGTCGGCTGCTTGACCATCACTGTTGCTACTAACTACTTAACTTGATCCAGAGGGCGCCCTGAGGTGCGAGAATGCTTCACGATGCCTCATTCTAAAATTCTCCGCCTTAGGTCAAAGGGCAGGCCGCTACCTAGTGAGGCGAAACCAGCCTGTTTCTAACACAAGGAAACTTAGAACAGTAGACGCGTTTAGCTTTTTCACCGAAAGGGGAAACTGCCATATTTAACACTGTCCCCCCCCCCCCCTTTGACAATTGCAAAAAGAAGCAGAGAGGTAATATTTAGAATGCTTTTCAAGGCTGGCTGGCACCTGAGAGAAAAGTGAGTTTTCTGTTTTTCTTCAGGGAGGGGCCGTGGCTCAGGGGCAGAGCCTCTGCTTGGCATGCAGAAGGTCCCAGGTTCCATTCCCAGCATCTCTAGCTAAAAGGACCAGGGGATGTGAAAGACCTTGATCTGGGACCCTGCCTCAGTGGCAGAGCCTCTGCTTGGCACGCAGAAGGTCCCAGATTCAGTCCCCGGCATCTCCAGTTAAAAGGACCAGGGGATGTGAAAAACCTTGACCTGGGACCCTGCCTCAGTGGCAGACCCTCTGCTTGGCATGCAGAAGGTCCCAGGTTCAGTCCCCGGCATCTCCAGTTAAAAGGACCAGGCAGGAGGTGATGTGAAAGATCTCTGTGCCTGAGATCTTGCAGAACTGCTGCCAGTCTGAGTAGACAACCCTGACTTTGATGGATTCAGTCTAAAGCAGCTTTTATGTGTGATCGTGTGTTTAGGGAAGGGGCTGTGGCTCAGTGGCAGAGCATCTGCCTGGCATGCAGAAGGTCCCGGGTTCAGACTCCGGCATCTCCAGTTTAAAAAAAGAATCTGGGAGTAGGTGATGTGAAAGACTCTGGAGAGCTGCTGCCAGTCTGAGTAGACAATTCTGAATCTGAGAGGCCAGATTTTATTATAGGGTTAGGGGCCGTGGCTCAGTGGAAGAGCCTTTGCTTGGCAGGCAGAAGGTCCCAGGTTCAATTCCCAGCATCTCCAGTTAAAAAGGACCAAGCAGGAGGTGATGGGAAAGACCTCCGCCTGAGACCCTAGAGAGCTGTCAAGAGGGGCCGTGGCTCAGTGGAAGAGCCTCTGATTGGCATGCAGAAGGCCCCAGGTTCAATCCCCGGCATCTCCAGTTAAAAGTACCAGGCATTAGGTGATCTGAAGGACTTCTCCTGAAGGAAAGCCAGTTTGGTGTAGTGGTTAAGTGAGCGGCCTCTAATCTGGGAGAACCGGGTTTGATTCCCCACTCCTCCACTTGCACCTGCTGATGTGACCTTGGGTCAGTCACAAGCTCTGGCACAGCTGTCCTTGAAAAAGAGCAGTTTCCGTCAGAGCTCTCTCAGCCCCGCCCACCTCACAGGGTGTCTGCCCACCTCACAGCAGTTTGTGAGCCGCTCTGAGACACCTTTGGGTAGTGAAGGGCGGGGTATAAATCCAATCTCTTCTTCTCTTCTTCTTCTACCCCCGGAGACCCTGGAGAGCTGCTGCCAGTCTGAGTAGACAAGACTGTATTTGATGGACCAAGGCTCTGATCCAGTACAAGGCAGCTTCATGCGTTCATGCATTATAGGGGAGGGGCCAGTGGCTCAGAGCCTCTGCTTGGCATGCAGAAGGTCCCAGGTTCAATCCCCAGCATCTCCAGTTCAAAGGACCAGGTAGTAGGAGATTGGAAAGATGTTCGCCTGAGACTCCGGCTCAGTGGCGAAACTTCTGTGTGGCATGCCGAAGGTCCCAAGTTCCGTTCACAGCATCTCCAGTTAAAAGGACCAGGCAGGAGGTGATGGGAAAGACCTCCGCCTGAGACCCTGGAGAGCGGCTGCCAGCCTGAGTAGGCGACACTGACTTGGGTGGGCCGAGGGTCTGATTCAGTATAAAGCAGCTTCATGTGAGAAAAGGGTCTGGAAACCTGTCATCTCAGCCGTGTTGCTCTTGGCCTCCACGGCTGCCAGAGGATGTAGTGATGGCCACGGGAATAAACCGCTTAAAAAGGGGGTTGGATAGATTCATGAAAGATCAGTCTATCAGTGGAGACTAGCCATGGTGACGGAGGGGAACCTTCACATTTAGAGGCACTAAGCCTCTGTATCCTAGAGCCAGGAGGCAACATCAGGGGAAGGCCTCGGCCTCTGTGCCCTGTTGTTGGCCCTTTGGAGGAACTGGTTGGCTGCTGTGTGAGACAGGAGGATGCTGGACTAGAGGGACCCTCACTGGTCTGATCCAGCAGGGCTCTTCTGATGTTCTTTTCAGGTGAAGGCCTCGGCCTTCCTGCCCTGTTGTTGGTCCTCCAGAGGAATTGGTTGGCCGCTGTGTGAGACAGGATGCTAGAATGGATGAACCACTGGTCTGATCCAGCAGGGCTCTTCTGAGATTCTTATCAGGGGAAGGCCTCAGCCTCTATGCCCTGTTCTTGGCCCTCCAGAGGATCTGGTTGGCCACTCCGTGAGACAGGAGGCTGGACTAGATGGACCTTCTGATCCAGCAGAGCTCTTGTGATGTTCTTAAGGCTGACAAGTAGAAAAAGAGTTCAGTAGCTGAAGAAGGAAAGAAAGAAGGAAAGAGTCTGGTAGGGCTTTAAAGACTGATGAAATTTGTTGTAGGGTACGAAGAAGTGAGCAGTGACTCACGAAAGCCCATACCCGACAACAAATGGTGTTAGTCTTCGAGGTGCTATTGGACTCTTTTCTGCTGCTACAGACAGACTGACATGAGCTACTCATCTTCATCCATCTCTATGGAACATTTTGAAAGATTTGTATCCACCGTTTCAGTTTTCCCAGGCACTTGACAAGCAATTTTAAAAAGGCATAAGCTATCATCAATAGAGCCATGTCTCAACTCCCTAGCTAAGTGTGTTAGGTGTACATCAGAAGTAAAATTAGAAATTGGGGGTAGGTTGGCAGGAGCGGGAACTAGAGACGGGAGCTCACTCCATCATGCGGCACCCGGGTCTCGAACTGCTGAACTACTGACCTTCCACAGCCTGCAGTTCAGTGTCTTAACCACTTGAGCCACCGCAGCTGTGTGTTACTTGTGCTTAAAATGGGGGGGGACTGTACCATGTAGTGCCGACGGGGTCCTTCATTCATTTCTTTGTAGCTGTCCCTCTGGAAAGGTCACTTTTGCTAACCTCACCAGTTCCCATTCATGATTTGCTGAGGGGACTCCAGCCGCTGTCGTCTGTGTGTGCTGTTTCGTTGAATTACTGCATACACTTTCTTCTGCCTGTAAAGGACTCAGTTGAGCTTCAGTTTTTCTCTCTTTTTTCTCCTTCTGTTTACTAAGCAGAATTGACCAAGAGCTTAACGGAAAGCAGGAACCGAAGACGGAACAGTGAAGAACCCTCGGAGTTGTCGGAGTTGAACCAAGACTGAGAAACGTGCCGACGGAATGACGTCTTGCCTTTTTTAAAAAAAACACAAACCTGTTGCGGCGGCTGGTTTGCCTCTGGACTTGTGCCCAGCGGTTTTTGACCCGCAGTATCGGCTTGCCCGTCCAGACGTATAGCTGCCTTTCTTGTAACTGCCTTATAATGCAAGCGTCACGGAGCGCCGTAGGAGGCGCCCACGTTCTATCTCAAAGGATGCTTATTCAGTAAATATTTATATGCATAAATGTTAAAGGAAAGGAAAGAGAGAATAATATATATATATTTTTACAACTTCTTAAAAGCAATACATAACGCCTGCCTACAGGGGTTTTTGCAAGGAGGCCAGAGGCCGACTCTTGACTGCTGTCATCCACTTGGTAATAAAAGTGCACAAGGATGTCTTGGAAATGGCCAACCGCCTCTCGGTCAACAGAAAACCCCCATCCGCACCCTCTGCTAGTCAGGGATAATCGGCCGGGCAGCAGAAAGGTGAGGCTTCCATTTTGGAGGTAACCAGCATTTGTTACACTGCTTTGGTGCAAATGATCGGCCCGGGCCCGTTGTCTAGAGGGCTTTCAGTTTTGGCTCTGAATAGCCGTGCTTATTTGTGAACAGAGGGGTTCAAAGAACGCCAGCTTGGGTCGCTTTACTCATTTGAACCGTGGACGTCCGATGCGCGAGCCAACCTTCATCACCCAAAGGCCTGTATCGACCCAACCGAGCCACGTTCTGCGTGAGACAGGCCAGCCGGCCAGCCTGAAGGGCAGATCCACGCATCAATGCAACACAAGGCTGCCGCCGAAAGTGGCATCCCCGTGCCATGAGCTTCCTCTCCCCATAACACTTAGCACATCTCGCTCCATGGTCTGCTGAGATTTCCCCCCCCCCCCGCCCTCCAGGGACACAGGGTGGAGAAATGCGCCGTGTTGGAGATAATGGGGTTGGCTGAGCGTGCCAATACAGAAGGGTGGAACCTGACACGGAGATGCCATTTTTCAGTGGCAGCTCTGTCTCCCCTTCCGTGCCCAGATGCACTGCCTTTTCTGCCATTTCGTAGACAGATCGTGCCTTGTGCTTTTTTTGAATAGCACCTTCCACCAGCACTGGATTCACTTTATATGTTTTTAAAGGAGTCTTTCTTTTTTTTTTTAAAGAAAAAAGAGAAAATCTGCACATCCACAGGCTTCTCACATGTGTGGAAATCTACTCGGCCCTAGGGCGGCCGGAATCCTTAGGTGAATGTCAGTCCACGGGTTTGTCCCACGCACTCATCCGAACGTGTTGATGCTCTGAAGCGGCTGATTGTCAGAATACCTGCCAAGAAACACTTTGCTGACTTTCTGGCAAGAGGGAGATCCTTCAAAGGGATCTTTCGTTTGCCTTTTCTTTAAAAAGAAAAGAAAAGGCCGTGTCTCATCACTCGTAAGCTACTTGTCAACACGTTACCCGTCTCCAAAAACAGTGTTTACGTGGGAAATGCTTAGCTGTGTTGGTGTATAAAACGTAGTCAATAAATAGTGTTTTTACAGAAATCATGTGGCTTCAGTCGGGTGTCTCATTAGGATCGTGCCAAGCGGCCTCAGCCTGAGGGACCCGATTCTTCCCTGGACGTCGCTGCCGGGTGTCTTGCCGGGTCTGACTGTTTTCCGCCTCCTCCACTGGAAATGCCGACTGCATTAGCCAGGTGGAGCACACGCACTGCTCCCGTTCTGCAGGCACTCCAGTGGCTGTCCATGGGGTTTTTTGTTGTTGTTCTTCAGTCGCACAGTCGAGTCCGACTCTTTGCGACCCCATGGACTTACCATGGTCCATGGGTTACCAAGCTCAATTTCAGTTACTGCAACAAACACACGGGGGAAACACAGCAAGGTTGAGCAAACGTAGAAAAACACCGTGTTCAAACAAAACACACCATTCTAATATGCTACTATGCCTTCATGTGTTCGTTTAAATCATATACTCAGATATACAATAGACCCTAGTGCAGGGTCATCGAACTCATTTGTTACGAGGGGCGGATCTGACATAAATGAGACCTTATTGGGCCGGGCCATGCATGTCAAAATGTAATGCCAGGTAGCAGAGATAGAAATTTTATAAAGGACACAAACACAAAGGGTTTTTTTTAACTTAAAATAAAAACATGCTTAAAACATGAGCACTCTTGCAATATTTTGTTTATTTAACAGTGCCTAATAACTGACACCTCTTGCTCTGAATTGTCACATCAAAATGTCTGTGCTGTTGCAATCTTGAGTATGCTGTTCAGGTGTGTATCCATAAGATGGAAACCTACCATCCTGAGGATACCTGCTTTGGAACAAAGTTTTTGCAGGGTTGTGGTGCCACAAATCCTTGGATGCATGATTCTTGTGCTGCCTATACTCTAAGACATGGTCTATTGTATGATGGTGGTTTCAGTTTCATTTCGATGTAAAAATCATGAATTCATGTGGATCCGTGCACTGAAACCATGTTTTTGCAGTGTTGTGCGGCCACAAATCCGTGGATGTGTGATTTTTATGGTGCTGCCTATAGTCTTAAAATGTGTTCTACAGTATGGTGGTCGTTTTAGTTTGTTTCAATGTAAAAAATCTTATGAATTCATGAGGATCCGTTTAAAATCACCTAGATCCGACATAGGTATGTTTGCTTTTGAGAGCCAGTTTGGTGTAGTGGTTAAGTGCGTGGACTCTAATCTGGGAGAACTGGGTTTGATTTCCCACTCCACTCGCAGCTGCTGGATGAACTTCGGCAAGCTATAGTTCTGTCAGAGCTTTTTTTTTTAATTTAAAAATATGAAAAAGTTACATTAAAAATAACATCAACAATCCCCCGGGTTCCCCTCACCCCCCTCCCATAATTAAAAAAAGTTCATATAAACTACTTTATAAAACAAGGATCTAACTCAATAAATTATTATAACTACACTCCACAGAACAGACTGTAGACCTAACAGGCTAAACAGAGATTTATCAGGTCCAAATTATCGGCCGTAGCAGGAATCACTGCTTGCGACTTCAGGTAGTCTAGGATTGGTGCCCAAGTATGAAACAGTCGTGATTTATAGGTGGTATATGTGTTTCTCAGGATTTTATCAGTCAATTTAGCAATTATAAAGCAGTCCCATATTCTATTTTGCCAAGCTGAGATAGAGGGATCCTATGACACTAACCCCCTTTAAACTCCCAGTTCTGTGAGGGTCTGCGTGTCAGGACCTAGTCAGCGTTAGATTTTGTTTTTCCTGACCAGTCCCTTACACAAATCTACAGAAGTCTCTTTGGGGTATTTGTTTTACTTATTAAAGAGTTAGGCACCACGGCTTGTTAACTTCAAACCAGAACGGCCTTTATTTACAGAAAACACAACAGGGGGATGGAATATATATATACA